CATGTATAAACTTCTACTTCTTTCAAGTATCACCTTCTTATTGAGGCCTTCCCTGGCCACCCTATCTAAAACTGCAACCCTGCCTCCCCATATATTCACTCCTAGCTTCCTTCTCTGCTTTATTCTTGGCCTTTTACTTACCATAAACACACTACATATTTGGCTTATGTATTTTGATTACTATAAATCTCCCCTCTAGAAACTGTTTTTGTTCACTCTTGTATCCCAGCACCTTGAACAGTGAGTAGCACAAAATAGGCTCTCAAAAAATATTATTTGAATGAATGAAGGTAATCAGTGATAATAAGAGCTAACTCTTAGGTAGAAAAGTAAATAACATAAATACTTCATAAATGTTAATGCATAATAAATGTTAATTATTTAAATTAATATATGCCCATGTGCATCTGTTGGAAGTAATTTTTAGATGGGAATTACAGGAAGGGAAGGAGAAATTTTAGTTAAAAGGGATGGTACATGGTTTTGCAAGTTAGCCTCAGGCAAGGTGAAGACCCTGGGAACACCGTAGAGTTTGGCCCAGCTTACCATCTCCCAGGACTGCTGAGGGGGTGAGAACATGAGGGAGGAAGGGGTTGAGAGGCAGGCTGGGACTTGTGTGAGTAGGGTCGTGGGGTCTGTATGCAGTGTTCTGGATGGCGTAGGCTGAGAATTCTAGACTTACAGATGGCTATGTGCTGATGTCCATCTCAAGTGTCTCTTCTAGGGCAAGAGTCAGGACTTCCAGTATTTGTCTATCTCTAGTGCTAGATGAGCACACCCTAAGCAAGAGAATCACTCTGAGTCCAGGGAAAGAGATTACCACATACATTTATATACTCTTCAATAGAATGCTTTGCTATCAAAATATAAATCCTCGTGGTGGGTGCAGAACCGGAGTGTCTCCATTATGCTGCTTTGTGCCTGACACATAGTGATGTTACATGTTTTTTCATTGTGAAAATAAATTCAGCTACATGTAGGTCATTCTTAATTTCAAAACATATCTTAAAGTGAAAAAGCAATTTTAAAAAGGTATTCTAATTCTTGAACTATAAAAGACATATATATAATTCTCCAAAGTCTTTGTATCTAGATGTAGCTATTTGATTAGCTGATATAGGCACAGTCCGTGAATAAAATTCCTTTGTAAAACATATCACCTTTGGTTTTTATAACACAAAGTTGATTTTCATGGATTTTTCCTAGGCTTCACTCATTGACTCCCTTTACGCCTATTAACCAGTCCTGGGGACAGAAGCTGTAAAACCGTTACTTCTCCCATTGACAGTGAACATAATGTGGGGAGATGCAGAGGAAGATACTGTGTTCTACACTAGTATCATCATATAATACTTTCCAAACCTTTGTCAGTTTCAGAGAGGAAATAATAGCAACCTGTACAATACTTGCCTCAGCTATTCTTCATAATTTTTATTGGTTCCCACATGGAATTTGAATTTTGCTTGCTACATTGCTGTAGGTGTGGCCAAGGACCTTGGATCTGTGAAGTTAATTAAAAAATAGGGTCTTATTTCTTTGAAAGTGGTGACTCAGACTCTGTATACTAGAGTGGGGAATATGTGTATATATGTATGCATGCATATGCATGTGTGGACAAATATGTATCTATACCACATATGCATGTATTATGAGAGAAGAAAAACATTGAAAATGACATATCATAAAAGAAGTGAGGAAAGGTATGAGAAGGGAAGGGGATTTTCATTCATTAATCTCCTCCTATGAACCAGGAACCCAGAAAAGAAGGCAATGGGGGGGAACAAATATGGAGGGATGCAATCACCTGGATATTAAAGAATGAACCTGTAAAAACCTCCTTCCTTAAAGGAGAGTGCTGTAAGAATGGATGCTGGCAGTCCATCAGGGAGCACTTGTCAAGTCATTCAGAGAACAAAAGGCTGTGGTGCCCTGACATTGGCTTTGTCTCCCTGAGGTGCTAGGCTGCTGTCTCACCATGAGATGACTTATCTTTGAAGTTCTGCTGAGCAGTCTAGATAGCATGACTTAAAAGTGCATGTCCCTAAACAGAGTTCAACTTCCCAGAATACAAATGTGCAGAGAACCAGACAGGGTCAGAAAAAACCATCCCAAGACATTTCCTTTTAAACCCTGGAAAATGCTACTTGTTTCCATAATTAAAAGGATCTTAGAAGACTATAGATTGGTGGGTTTTAGGTATTAGTATCAGGGTTTTTTTGTTTATTTTTTTTAAACAGGAGTACTTAAAATTTCTAAAGTTACATCTTTGTGATTCCTCTGATGGGCAGAGGGGTAGGTGACCTTGCAGAGTTCCTGAGCAGGTGGGAGGTAGGGTAAGGTCCAGTTGAACTCAGGACATGACAAAGAGAAAGGGATGAAAACCATAACCATTTTAGAGAGCTCTAAGGTAAGTCTTCAAAATCTATTTAGAAATTCCTAGTCAATTACAGGTTTTGCTTAGATGTCATTTTGGCTTTCTCCACTTCCACTGCTCCAGTATCACATCACATATCCTCAGCATCATTAGACTTATTATAGGAGCCTTTCCATCTCCATTTGCATTTTGGGATAGATTGCAATCATTTGGCCCAATTCTTCATCATTCTCTATATCCATGCTTCTTGCCATAAAACTTTTCAGGGTTCTCTCACTGTGTGCTGGTGACCTTCTGAGCCTCTTGATCTTGGGCTCAGCCATGTGATTTTCTTTGGCCAATAGGGTGTTTAGGAAATGTGATGCAAGCAGAAGCTTGAAATGGACTTGCACATTTGGGCTTGGTCTTCCGCCAAGGGAATAATGACAGATTTATGAAACTGTATACCATGTTCCAGCTAAGCCTGCCCTAAAGTAGAGCCCTAGCAAACACACAGAGACACAAATCAGCCCAGCTGAGACAAGCACAGCCACCTAGATCAACCCACCTCAAAAGAGTTGAACCCCACAGATGTGTGAAAAATAAATGTTTATTGATGGATGTCACTGGGGTTGTGTTGTTGCTCGTTACACAGCAAAGCCTCACTGATACAAATGCCACTTGACTTATGCTCCTCTTGTCTGGCAGAGAGACATTTCTAAAATGGAAATCCAGTTTTTCTATTAATAAAATTACTCTGCCTAAGCCACTTTAATGACTTTTTGTTACTGGACTGAATGGTATCCCCCCAAAATTCATATCTTGAAGTCCTAATCCCCACTACCTCAGAATGTGACCTAATTTGAAATAAGATCATTGAAAATGTAAACTGTAGTTAGCTGAGTTAAGATGAGGTCATATTGGAGTAGGGTGGACACTTAATTGCTGTGAATACTGTCCTGATCAAAAGGGGAAATTTGGAAACAGACATGCTCACAGGTAGAATACCATGTGCACATGAAGGCAGAGATCAGAATGATGTGTCTACAAACCAAAGAACACTAAGATTGCCAGAGAACTACCAGAAGCTAAGACAGAGGAATTGAACAGGTCTCCCTCACAGCTCTCAAAAGGAACGAATTCTACCAACACCTTGATCTCAGACTTGTAGTTCCCAAACTGTGAGATGAACAATTCCTGTTGTTTAAGCTACTCCTCACTAACTTTAGGATAAAGTCTAAACTCCTTCAGAAGGTATGGAAGTTTTTTATTTCTTTTTAAAAATCAAAGTATAGTTGACATACAATATTATATTAAGTTCAGGTATACAACATAGAGATTTGACATTTATAGACCTTAAGATGTGATCCCCACACTAAGCCTAGCAACCATCTCTCACGTTATCACAATGTTATTTGACTGCATGCCCCTTTGACATTTTCATCCATCCCCCCAACCTTCCTTCTGGCAACTATCAGTTTATCTGTTTCTATAAGTCTGTTTTTGTTTTGTTTGTTCATTAGTTTTGATTTTTAAAATTCCAAATGTAAGTGAAATTATGCTTGTATTTGTCTTGCTCTGTCTGACTTATTTCACTTAGCATAATACCCTCTAGGTCCATCCATGTTGTCACAAATGGTGAGATTTCATTATTTTTTATTGCTGAGTAATATTCCCCTGAAAGTCCTTTCATAAGCTGGTCTCTGGCCATATTTATGGTTTCATCCCTCACTGTATCCCAGTGGCTTCAGCCTTACCCCATTCTGTAGCCATGCAGAACTATCTACAGTGTTTCCATCAACTGCTTCAGAGCTTTTGTCAATGCTATAACTTGGGCCTCAAATGCTGCTCCTTCTGCTTTCTAATCCTCTGCTAGATTCCACATGATTACCTAATTAACTTATATTTGTATTTCAAGCTCCAGCCTGGCATCATCTCTGGAGACTTTCTTTTCACTTTCCCAATCCTAACTATGAGAGAACACCCTACTGAATGCTCCCCGAACACCACATAGAGATATTTCTATCACAGTCCATTATAAACCTTATCTTCATCAATAGACTTGATAATGAACTTATTAAAGGCAGGGTCACATACTATCTGTCCTTTTATACCTAGTACCTAGCACAATGCTTGGCATAAAGAGGCTGTGCAGGAAATGTTTATATGAGTGTTCATGTGCAAATAACCAAACAGATGTGTTCTTGGCATATGGAAGATACATTCTGCTTGTGTGACAACTGGCAATTGAATTTACTTGGAAGCAAAAGCACCCAATTAAAGACAAAACATCACTTCCTTGTTCTTCTTCATTTCCTTCTCTTTATACAACTACCCAAACTCACATGCTTTTTAATGCTTTTAGATGTGACTGAGTTATTAGGCCTTTCATCTTAAAGACTGACAGTCTACGTTCCACATTTCTCAGGAGGGAAAGACTATTATAACTATATTTTTGCTTACCAAGAGAATTCTTAATGGTTATCCTGGAGGGGAAAAAAATCTATAAATATCCAGCCTATAATGAAGCCTTAAGCTTAGTTTCTTCCTTTGCTAATGAAATTCTTTCTGAGTGCACTGCCAGCATTGCTATATAACCATTACACTGAGAAAAGAGATGAAGTCTGTAGTGAATCTTTTCTTTTACCTGTTTAGTCCTCATTTTGGAATCCGATGACAGATTGTTGTAGGTATAATGTGCCTGTGTGACTCCGCAGAAGAGAACAGCAACTATCCCTGAAATTCAAAAACACATCAGTCAAAATCAATTTTCTTTTCCACCTAAGTCAAAGGGTTGGGCTATACCAGGTATAGAAGATAGACTTGGTGATGGCAGTTAAAACAGCTAAGAAGTACTATGATAATGCTACTTGCTTTAAGCATGGGTCTGGCAGGATAAAACTTAAAGGAAAAAACCTGAAGAAAAGTATTAAGAAGTAGGTTCTCCCTGGGGATAATTGATCCCTTTGTCACGAGTTAGGAAAGTTATACTTGGGAAAACATGAAAAAAAGATGGTATAGTCAACTTCTCATGGCCAGTGCCAACTACTGGCTGCATCTTATACTAAATGCTGGCATATCTGCTAAGACATTTGCTTTCCATGGGAGACCTTGAAGAATCTGAAGAAGTTCTTGTCATACCATAATTTAGTATTGAAACTACAAGTCACAAACCTAAGAAATCTACAAGGGTTTTGTTGTCCTCTCCAGTCCTTCTATTTGCCAAATGACAAAGAGGAAGAGTTCCTTGATTGCCTCTACTACACCCAGCTTTAAATGCTATATGAAGCCTCCCATACACTAGATGCTACTTGGGGACCAAGAGGTAGCCACAATGGGAACAACTTTTCCCTGGGCTCTGTTAGTCTCTGTGTTATTGCCCCAGGACTGTGGTGCGAGCTGCATTCTACTTTGGATTAAATATTCAGTTAATTATTGGAAATTGGCCATAGAGGAGGGCTTTGGGAAAAACACAAGATGTAAGTATTCCTCAACTCAGACCAAGGGGATTGAATGAAATTTTAAGCAGCAGAATCTTTTCAACTAAAAACACTCATAAATTAAGTGCTGATGATTCTTAAGAGTATAGAGATATGTGAACTGAATACTGACATTTCAAATGAATCTGCAATAAAAAATTTTAAAGAACCAAGCTTATTTTTTAATATGTAGACTGTACACTTTTATTTATATTTTGGTTATTTTTGGATTGGTTTTCAATAAAATATTGCTGAGACATATTTACCTAATACAAGTACCTAGATATTTATATTACATATTTCTTTTTAATATTATGCATCAAAATTTTAGGCAAAAGAATAAAAACAACCAGAAATTTTTGCCAAGAAATTTATATATGCACTAAGTATTTCTATACATTTTGGGGTAACATCTCAGTTTCTTAGCTTCTCTTCAGAAATTCTAAGGAAAAATGCTTATCAAATATTACATTTTACTACTCTTCACAGAATTTCTATTGAAAATCAACCAATGACAGGGAAATGGTTAAGGCACTGAGGCTCTTCATGTACCCTGAGGTATAGGAGGATTGCCAAGCAGGTTGTTTTGGCATCAAATATTTGTCTTTCTTTCTTTAAAAATGTAATTGATCCATTTCTGCTGCTTCTTTAGTCTCCTGGAGATTTTTCTTGGTGAGGTTTAGGTGGCACTCCCACCATTGTGGAAATGTTTTGACTGTATATTGGCATGGGGAGAAGGAGTGAATGAAAATGGTGGGAGCATGTGTGGGTTGTGCATAAATGCATTTTGAGAGCAAGAAGAGGGTACAGAGAAGTTTTCCACAGGATAGGGAGGGCACTAAGGTTGGCTGAACACCTACTGCAGGCAAGACTGCAAGTTTTATTTGCACCATTTTATTAATTGCATTAATTTATTAGCTCACAACAGGTTTAGCCTGAAGAGGTTAACCAGATCCTCCACTTGTCTTCCCTTTCTCAGTAACAGCATCTCCATTTCTCCTGCTGCTCAAGGATAAAACTTTGGGATCACCTTTTACTTCCCCTCTCTGTACATCAGTGATTGTTGTTGGCTTGTCCTTTGAAACTTACCCTGAAACCAACCACTTCTCAATACCTCCAACCCTAACATCTTTTTCTAAGCCACCATCATGTTTTTGCCTGGATTACAGCAGTATTTGTTTAATAAATTAATGAATATTCCTATCCCCATGTAACAAATAAGCTAAATTAATTTACTCAAGGTCACCTTGAAAGTGGCAGAGCTGAGATTTAAATTCGACAAATTCCTTGTGCTTTTCTGCCTGCATCAGACCATCCATGAACATTTTAAGGTAATCTTAAACTATCTAAAAATATCATCTCTGATGTTCCAGAGAAATAGAGATTTGATGATGAAGATGACATATCTGAGCTGGCTGGGCATCTTGTTTGAGAATATTTTCTCTAGTAACTCCATTAGTTTTCATTTTCTTGCCTCTTTTAGAACACTAACTGGCAGTGTTTCTGCTAACACTTATGGAGTTCAATATGGATATGACACACAAGGAACAAACAATAAAGAGTGTGCCTATATGACCAGAGGCTTGATGTAATTAAAGTACCTAAGTTGATCTGATCCTTAGTGTTAGCATACATAGTCATAACTCTATACCTTGGTAATTAATTATCTCACACAAATTACTGTAATTAGTATGACTTTTACAAGCCAAAACACATTTTGAAAATGTCTCATATAAATGCCTTTATTATTTATCAAATTCTTTGCCATCTAAACATATTTAGAGTTGCCAGTTTTCTACCTTACAGAAGTGCATTTGAGTTATCATTATAGTTTTACACATCTATGCCTGCTAGCACTAGCTGTTAAGCCCACTGTTATGAGGGGCCCCAGACAACTCTCTTACATGCTTTGGATCTCAGATTCTCAGGTGTACAAAGGACGGGGAGAGAGACCAAGTGTTCTTTGGGCCAGTCAGCAAACTAGAATCTGTGATCCTGGGGCTGGGGCTCTGCTCCCACATCTTTCTTTGCTAGAGCTGCTGTGCTCTGCCAGGATGGAGCCCCAGAAGGGCCGGGATGCAGGAGAGGAGAAAAGGCCTTGCTCCTCCTTCCCATCTGCCTTCTGTTCTTGTCAGCTACATTTCAGCGGTGGTGCTTCACCATGGCTTTGGCCTTTGGTTCTTCACCATGGCTTTGGCCTTTGGTTCCACCCCTGTTTTCTGTTTTTTGGGGTTTTTTCCTGTACTTCCAGAACAGCCTTAGGAGACCCCTCAAAGAAATCAGCAGCAAACAGGCCATGTCCTCAGAGGTCCAGGTCCCAGATCAGTGGTATTCTTTTAAGAGTTTCTAGATTCTCTTCCCTTTGCTCCCTCCTATCTCAGGGGTCACACACTTGTGTCCTACAAATACTACCTCTGTGTTGCCTCAGAGTCCCCTATATACTTCTTCAGCTCTCCACCACCTGTATTAAACTTTGTCAATGGCCAGCCAGTTCCTCCTTCCTGACCAGATCTTGAGCAGTAGCCTCCTGTGGGTCCCTTCTCATTCTAAATCTTGATGGTTTTCTGAAACCACTGACAGTTTGTCATTGAAAATAAAATACATCCTGTATCCTCCTGTATAACTGGAACAGTGGGGGATACCAATAGCAGCTGAGATGCCATGCCAAGTTCCAAAGGACTTGACTTAGTCTTATTTCAATCTTACGTATGGATGGGGATTGGTATTTTAAAAAATGATGAGTTTGAGCCACTAGATTGGAACAAGCGGCTGGGGTAGGAGTAAGTTAGGCTTATAACTAAATTAAAGAGGGATTACCCAGACTCTGCCATGTGTCTTCTGATTCCCAGTCATATAATCTTTCCAAAATGTGAGTGCTATCTCCCAAAGAAGCTCCTGCCTAAAAGTGTGAGAATTTCCCCCATTATTTGAAATGTTTGGGTTGAATGATCATCTGCCAGAGCTTTGTAGAAAGAATTCTTTTCATAAAGTAGACGTTTGGATATCCTCCAATTCTGTGGGCCTGTTATTTTCCTATATATTATTTTATTAATTCACTAGGATTAACACCTCAGTTTGTTTTGTTTTGTTTTTTCTTCTTTATTTTTAAGTTCAGGGCAAGGAAACAATAATGGTTTCAAATGAAGCCTTTAGACATTTTGAATAGAGGTGACCCAATTGTTTCAAAAAGTAAAGACAAGATAAACTTATGGACTTTCAAATATTCTTTCAAATTTAGACAGACAACCCTTCTAAAGTAAAAAAATTTAAATATCATTACTGCAACTTCTAATTATAAAAACTTAATTATTTTCAATTAAGCTAGAGGTTTAAACTCAGGATGTTTCCCTTGTGTAGAAAAGGACATCTCTAAATCTCTAGACCACAAACTTTCAGGTCAAAGGATATTGAAAATGGGTAATTCTGCTGTTTGCATCCAAGTGACAGACACAGGTTGCCTCAGAGAAAACCAATTCTTTCTTTTCTCTTACTGCTGTTTCTTGCCCCTCGGTCTTGCTTGTCCTTGTCACTCCTGGGCAGTGCTTAACTTTAAAGCATATCCTACTGTCCCCATACAGCTACTTGACCCCACCTGGAAGCACAACTGTGGCTCAAGAACCTGCATTAGGCAGGAGAGATTCAAAAACTCTACCTAATATCTATGAAATGTTAATGTACAACCAAATCACCTGGGAATCTCGTTAAATGCAGATTCTACTTCAGCAAGTTTGAAATGGAACCCAAGTCTGTGCATCAGGGATGTCCAGATGTCCATGCTACTGGCACCTGCATCACACCTTAAGAAGCATATCTCTGACCAACACTTTGGTTTTAAGTATCACTCTTGTTATGGCTTGGCTTTGATCTTGTATAGTCCTAAAAAAAGACTTTGCCTTATTTTTGCCCCTTAAACATTTTGTCTTCTAATTAGATGACAGCTCTACAGGATCAACACAATTTTTATTACTTATTTTTCTTGGCTTATAAATGTCTTTTGCTAACTATAAAAATATTTTAAAATTATATTTTTGTGTTTAATTCTCCATATTTTCATTCTGTGGCTTTCCAGAATTGACACGATTCTATGAAGTAATTTTAGTTTCATGGAAAAATTATCTATCAAAGACATCTGAGAAGTTTAAAATTTTGTTCTTTATTTTTAAATTATTTATTCTTAATCCCAGCAAAAATAATGTGAGATAAATTAGTTGCATGGGATAAAACTGATGATTTTATTATCAAATAGTTCAATAAATT